GCTCCAGGAAAATCTCAAATTAGCTATAAAATACTAAAGAGGTTAAGCCAAGAAGAAAAAGACTTCTTGAGAAGAATGTTGAATAACTTCTTAAAATGAGAAGTCACTCTGAAATACTGGAAACAGAGCTACATATATCCAATAGTGAAACCCAAACCATGGGGCTGTGAACTCTCTAACACTAGACCTATTGTTTTATTAAAAGTTACAAGAAAATGTTTTATCAAAATTCTCATCAACAGAATGGGAGATATTTGTAAAAACAATAATATTCTCAGAGAATTAAACTATATAAGACTGCTAAGAGAAAGTACAGCAGAACCAATTCATATTTTCAATAATATCTGTAAAGATATCAGAGAAAACAAAAAGAAACTATGAATACTTTTTCAGAATACTGCAAAAGCATATGATACAATTAATCTAGATATGTTGATAAAAGCAATGGAGAGAATCAAAGCTTCAAAAGGTTTCATAAAGATTATACTAAGCCTTTTTCAAAATAGAGAATTTCAAGTCATGTTTGAGAATGATCTCACAGAATCAATAGTAGCTGGAGATGGAATTGATCAAGGGGAAACCATCTCACCTCTACTATGGAAAATTTTCTATGACTCTCTTTTATGTAAAATCTAGAACAATACATAAAGAGGATATAAAATGTCAGTTATATGGAACCCTGACCTTAAAAAACAGACTACAAGAAGGTTGGAATCAAGATATACAGTTATAGCCTTTATGGATGATACAATATGGATAGCAAAATCTAAAAAGAATATTAAAAAGATTATAAAAACTGCAAAAATCTGTTACATAGTCAACAACTCTCAAATAAATAGTAACAAATTAGTCTTAGTCACTATTAACAATCCTAACTGCTATCCAGAAGAAGTGACGGCAAATACTAAAGAAGAAGTGATTAAAAAGCTCGATAGAACAGAACAAGTTAGATTCGAGAGAACTGGATGAGTAATTAAAAAACTGCAATTGAGCTTAATAAACAAGTACTTAAAGAAGTTAATCAACATTATAACAAGAACCCTTAAACATAAAAAAGTGATAGATAAACAAGTTCTCTATATTCTGAATAGAGTTTTAATATCTATGATAAAATTTAGAATGCAGTATAGCCTATTGTTCTGAAAATATGCAACACCTTAATTATAACATATAGAAAACTTTTCAAAAATAAGAGTAGTTTATGCAAATCAATACCCAATAGCATAATCCACCACCCAAAAATCCATAACTTGAAAAGTATTTGAATGTTATAAAGAGAAAGCCAAGTAACAGAACTTTGCAACAGATTAAATGATTCTAGACCAATAGAAATTACAACAATTTTCAGACTCAAACAAGCACAGATTAAAAATTGGGAACCACTTAATTTATTAACTTGCAAATCTTTAAGTCATCTAATAGACAAAGGAAACTTCTTGCTTCAAGTGACCAAAATTGTTAAAAATATGGGAATAATGTTTCATAATTGGAAATAGCAATATATTTTTAAATGGAAAAAGGGAAATTTTTAAATCAAAAAATATTTTGCATCAGAAGAATACAAAAAAGCTATATTATTACTTAGAAACAATTAACTAATGTACCTGGATCAGTTAATTGATCAGGAAATTGTAAAAATAAGAGATTGGCAAATGTTTCAGCTCCTACAAAATATAAGCAAAGGATTTATACTAGAATGGTTTTAAATTATAATCAAAAATCTTCCATAGAAACAACTAAAGTAGTTTATAAGATCTGGATGAGAAAATTATATGAGATGGGAATCAGAATACTCAAAAATAAACTCTAATTGAGACAAGTGAAAAAAATTGTGGATAGTAATGGGAAATAAAAGAAATCAAGTAACTTGGAAAAAATTAAGACAAGAAAAAAAGGGAAATGTTATAATAGTAGAGTACTTTACTAGTCATAACTTCAACAATGATCAGGAGATCAATATATAAAAATGTCTGGGATGTTCAAAAGGCACAACACTAAATAGTAATTGTATCCTTGAAAGAGAAATAGAAAAAATATATGTAATACCATACCTTCATACAAGAAAGTCCACTAGAAGAATATGAGACTTAAAAATCTCCAATCTCAAATCAACACTTGAAAAAAAAATCAAAATAGTGATTTATAGTAACCAAAGCCCTTTAAAGATCCTAAATGATAGAGTAAATCATGTAAATATCAAAATCTGAAAAGAAGCTATTATCAAAGAACATATTAGAGAAGGAGTATATCAAGACCACCTAATAGATATACTTCAATGTAACCTTGGATCTAAAAAAAAAGCAATCTTTTATTCTGATGGATCACTTACTAATCACGAAAAAGAGAATATGAAAATAGGAGTAGCTTGGATCCAAATAGGAAAAGAAAAAAAGAAAAGCAAGTTCCAAACAGAAGTAAACAATTGGCTCTTATTTATAAGAATAGAATTGATAGCAATTATAACAATACTTTTAGTAGTTTCAATTGAAAACATGGTGGAGATCTTTATAGATAGTCAGATATGTATTTCTAAGTGGAAATCCTTAGAAAAAGAAGGTCCAAAAAGGATACACAAGAGATAGCTCAATGAAAAAAATTGATTTTTATAGATATGAATGATAGAGCTAATAAAAAAAAAACATAGATTTAAAGCTCACAAAAGTCAAGGTACACTCAAATGATCCTCATAATAAAGAAGCAGATGTCTTAGCTAAGGAAGTCCTGAAATTTTTATTAATTGAATAGAAAGATTTTACTACACACAAAATTATAACTGAAATCAAGTGGTAAGGAATAACTCTAGATAATCCAATTAGGCAGTTCCTTAAGAATATTAATAATAAGACAACAGTCTATCAATAGATATAACAAAACAAAACAGAGGAAAGATGAAGTCATCAGATTTCAGAATATCAGGTTCACACACATAGGATCTAGTATAGAATAGGATTAAGGATAGACACATGTAGAATATATTTTTTAAACAATTCTAACAAAGAAGCTTTCTTATTAAACTGATCAATAACGAGTTACCCATCTTAAGTAAGTTGGTTGTAAGAAGACCAGATCTATATAAGCAAATGAAATGCATTGTATATAGTTAATAAGATGAAACCATAGAATACTTATTAGAATATTCAGTTTATAAAGATCAATCACAAGAGGTATGAAATAAAGAAGTAGGTGGAATTATTAAAAACTTTAAAGGGCTATTGTAAGAAAGAAAGAAAGAGGTTGAAGAAAAAAATTTCAGATTAATTATTGATGACCATGAAGAAATAGGAGAGTTTGATAAGTGGATTGCTAAAGTAGTAAAACTGACTTCTGGAACAAATTAGAATATACTAAGTTTCTGTACTGATATTATAAAACTGACCTTATTCTAGAAGTGATGGATTTAAAATATCAAGGTAAATATATAGAAGAAATAGCAAGAAAGTGAATATTAAAAATGCAAAAAAGAGTTTGCAACCAAATCTAAAAAGAAGTTTAGAACAAGAGATGCAAAAAGGTAATTGAATGAAAATGAACACAAGGAATTAATAAAGAAGATAGGATGAAAAGATCTCCTTATCTATTAGACCAGAAAATCATATCCTTGAAGAAAAGAAATCCACTACTTAAAGAAGAAAACCTTGAAGATAAAGGCTTTCGAGAAATTTTAACAAGAAGAATAAAGTATGAAATAAAATGGTTGGATTTTAAGCTTTGTCAGAGTGATCTGCAGTAGTGACCTGCAGGCAATGAAGTTAACAGTTGGAAAGGTTTTTACCTAAACTATTAACAGAGTGATAAATCATTCCCAAAGTTGCACTTAGAGTTTTAATAATTCTTAAAATAGAGACGAGTGAGTTAGGTAGAGACTTAGCTTTAGCAATATATCTTTAATGTAAAGTATACATATGTTTAATAAAGCATACATATCTAGCCTGACAGAGGATTTTAAAATAATAATAATAATAATAATAATAATTTTTTAATAGTTATAAACACAAATTATTATATTACTATATTATATTTTAAATTTTAAAAATTTTAAATACTAAAAATATACAGTATGTACTTATATTAATTGAACAATTTAACAATATAATATTAGTTTAAAAATAAATTTTCAGATAATTCAATAAATAAAAAATCTTCAGAAAAAATTTTATTTATAAAAATATACAACAATTAAACCAGGGAATTATTATTCGGTCAGTTTAATTAACATACACTGCGTGTTAATAAAACGAATGATCGATTAAATGGTTACGAATTTATTCATAATCATGGCATCGTAACTATTATATGCATCCTTTACTGTATATGCTGCATAAAGATCTTGATGACATTTTCACAAAATAAGTATGTGTTTCCTAAATGCGTATTCTATCATGATTCCTTGAATGTTAATTGTATTTGGTTCCATTACACGTAACCACATGCATCTCATTTTCTATAAATGCTAACCTCTAAATTCATCTTGCTATTCTTTTTTTATATATGATCCCGACATAATGCAACTTGTGGAGAATTGACTGTATATTGATTGATTAAATAATTATGATAAGTAATAAATGAAATATACTAAGATTGCAATACAAAATTAACATATTTACTTTCAATTTAATTGAGACGAAATAAATCTTGTTTAATCCATTCGGTGAAAAAATCTTTACTGACATTAAAACCATTAAAGCGAGTGCCGGATGAAGTTAAATTAATAAAATCCACGAAACCATATAATCGTGCCGTACTCCTCACAATAATCACTAAGCTCCCTTATACATTAATTTTTTCTATAATCACATTATCATATATTGAAGTTATTACAAAATGTATTAATGTAACTGATGTGTTTTTAAAACAGAATGATGGAGTGCTAAGTAAAAATTTAGAGCAATGCCAAATAAAAAGCGAAAATGTTCGCGTAAAAATAAAATAATAGGTAGCATTGAAAGCGCGTTTGACCACGGCTAACTTTCGCAGATATTTACAACAAATTTTTGAATTTCTTAACTTTCATCCGGATTATCCCGTTCTGAATAGAAATTTTTTAGATAATCTTCTGCCTCCTTATATTCATCTTTAACCACTCTCAATAGGTCTGAGATTTTGGTTAACGCGACTTCTTCGGAGATTGAATTTGCACCCGTTTCGTCTTTCATATTACCGAAATGTTGCATTTTTTCGCATGATGCCTTAACCTTGGTTAATCCTATTGCGGCAGAACTTCCTTTAAGAAAGTGCCCTAGTTTTGACAATTCGACGAGGTTTTTCTTTTCTCTGCCGATTGCCAATTGTGAGAATACATTAAAAAAAGATCAAACTTTGAATAGCATTTCGTCTGTATGTCATTGATTCACTGATTCTTAATATTATATATGTATTTCAAAAGATAAAAATTATAACATTATGTAAAAAACTAGAGACCATATTCTCATGAAATCAGGAGTAGCTTTTAATTAAAAATCAACCCCAGCGGTTTTGCACAACTTGTCATAAAGTAGAAGAAATGGAATAAATAATTGAAAAATGAAAACTCGATTACTTACAAAGCCCTGTCCATCTCATCGAATGTTGTCTCTGCTTGCTCAAAATAATGCAATACAATAGATTTAGAAAAATCATGGTCTTCATCATCATCCATCTCGAGCAGTTGATCGAATGTTTCGTGATCGATAAGCTCTGATGTGGGTGTCTCTAAGTTTTCCCTTTCATCCTTCAGGACAAATATGTTTCCGAGTTGGAATATGGTTATTAAGTAAAGACTCACTCAAAAGAAGGCAGAACACGAGAATTTGCAAGTTATAATTTAAAGAACATACGGAAGGTACCGGACTTGGCGTTTCTGACATAACTTAAAAGTATGCTACGGATCGCAGGGAAGCCGGTAAAACATAGATAACACAATTCCCCTCCAACATATGCGCAATGACATCATGAGATATTTATTTTATCCTCAACTGAATGACATAATGTGTAACTAGTATTGAATACAAGCTCGACATTACTCGAATTGTGTTACTTCCTTTACTATTTTGGTTGGCTGGGATTTTTTTTTGTTGATGATTGGTCACGCAGGAAAGAACATTTTGCGCATCGCTAGTCGTTTTCCCGTGAATGTACAACATAACGAAATTACTTTCCTTGCAAGGAAAAGCAAAAATCATAATTTATAACAAAAAAAATTTTTTTTTAAAAATAACTATTAAATTTAATATAATTAAACCTATAAGAGCATTGTTTACTCGTGTAGGGAATATTTGGTGCATGCATTCGGTACACTACATTTAATTAACGAACCGTTTAATAAAAGGAATCTTAACGAAGTTTGTCTAGGGATTTCACAAGATGAAATGAAAAGACCCGCTATAAGAATATGATGGCAAAATTGCACTATATGAACGACGCGCCAACAATATCATCCTCTAGATAATGAGTTTTGAGTAGCACTTGGATGCAGACAATAATATAAAACGAATTTTGCGCAATCATATGTTAATTTAGTTAACACATGAGTTAACACATGCACTTAACATGACATAGAAGAAGCATGATATTTACATATTTAATAATTTATTTTTTTTTTTCCCGTGGCAATTATATAATGATTAAACTAAATCTCATGCTAATTCACTCATCATCAGTTTTCAATTCTCAAAAAAAACTTCGGCCTCTAAATGCAACATTGAAAATAATGTTTTGCTTCATAATAAATTTTGAGTAAAAATCCTTTTAATTTAAATATCATTATTAGTAGGTTATCATTATCTATTATTCTTCAAAAAACTGATTTTCAAGAAACTATTATAGGTAAAAGAAAAATAAAAGAAAAAGGTAAATCCAAAAATATACAAATATGTCATATGAAAAGGAAAAAAAAAATTATAAAAATTCTATATTCTCTAAAGAATCTTGATTAGAAACCTTTTTTCATTAAGATTAACTATTCTGAAATATTTATTTTTTTCCTAATTATTTATAAAACTTATTTATTCAAGATCTTGATTATTTTTTGTAACTATTTAAAATAATTATCATTTACTTTAATTCAATATCTTGCTTGATATTTTTTTAAAGTTTATAATTTATTTAAAATAATATTTATCAAAGTTTTTACTTTTTAATTAATAAAGTTTCAATATTTTTATTAAACAAATATATTATATAATACTTTTATTTTTATTTTTTTTAATCTTTTGTTTGACTTGAATATTGATTTAAAATTAAAAACAATAAAGTTATATAATTTATATTTTTTATAATAATAAAAAATACTTTAAAAAAAAAAAACTTTTTTATTGATCTTCAATTTTTTCAAAAATTTCCTTTATAATAATTTTCTTAAAAAAAGTAAACTAGTTCAAATACACAAGAGAAAATAACACATTCTTAAAATTAACAACAAATATATAACAAAACTATCTGGAAATATCAAAGATAGAGATATAAACAATTCTACTAATAGCTTTTTTATATTTTTTTTTCTTTAAATTTTTAGAAAAAAAAAAAAAAAACAATCAAAAACTAATGTACAGTTAGAATAAAAAAGCCAATATTAACTTCACATAGCTTACAATCAGGTTAATACAGTTAATACCTTTCTTGATATTACAAGAAATCTTAAAAGTATTTAAACCTACTCAATAAATCAAGTTGTTTCCATCACTTCAAGATCCAGAAGAATTTTAAAGATTTATAATAATAAGCAGTCTTAATGTATATATATATAAAAACAATAAACCTATATCAAATTTTATTATGTGAACATGAACACATAAAGGAAACAAACTATTTAAATATATACAACTTATTGTCAAAACAAGTTAATTGACTTTCCACATAAATATTACAATAGCAATTCTTTATCATAATAGGATTATTATATAAACAAATAAATATATCAAAATAATATAAGATTTTTTCATATTATTCAAAACAGATATATTTTATCAATAACATCATGTGTTTATTCATGTTCTAAAAATAGATCATTAATAAACAAGTAAATAAGATCAATATACAGTATAATAATACTATAATTAAGCAAAGCAATAATTATATGATAATATAAAACTTATTATATTTAATACACATAACATAATGCTTCATACAAAAGTAAACATAAATAGAGCTCAATATATATTATATATAATGGATAAAAGAGAAAAGGACATAGTAGATATATTAGTCAAACTTTTAAAAACACATGATAAATACTCAAAACTGTAGACCTTTTAGTAATTGTTATAATAAAAAGAAATTAAATTTAAAAAAGAAGTCACAACAGTATTAGAAATATATATTGTTATAAATAATATTATTGCTAAAATACTGGAAGTTAGTAAAATATCTTTTTACAAAAAATAAATTTTAATACAATATATTTTATATTTTTGATAACTTGGAAAAAGAAACAAAGAAGACCTTTTACAACTTTATATAGAAGATAGGTTTTTAGTGATTATTAACAACCCTAAAGATTTTTACAAATCTAAATATCAATCAATTGAAATTGTTGAGCAATTAGATACTAAATCAATAATAGCCAATGAAATTATAATGACATGTGCTCAAGAAGCAGTAGAAATAGAATTACAAAAGCTCCAAGAAAAAATAAAAAGGTATTGCATTAATAAATATAGCTCTTATACTATTAGAAACAAAGATATGGCCTCATTAACAAATCCATATTTTATAAAAAAAAAAAGGAATCTACTGATTGGATACAATGATAATTAATATTCCTGGAAAAATAGAAAATAAAACCAAAGTATATTTAAATAATATTCTAAAACTTTCACAAGAAAAAAGAAACCTTTTAAAGAAAGAATTCATTAATGAAAATAAATAGTTAGTCTTTTGAGTACAATAAAAAAAGAAGTTTGCAAGTATATAAAAAAAACAAATTGAAAATAAGACAACTTTACCATTCAAAATACAATATAATCCTCCAGGCTATCCACAATTTACAAAAAATAAAAAGAAACTGGAACAAAAAAGTTTTTCAGGAATCTACAATTGAAAAAGATACTATTATCTAGCACATATATCTAGTAGATATATATAAAAAAACTAACAAACACTTTATATCTGCATATTTAAAAAGATATAGAAAGGCTCAAAACATTTATATTTATGAAGTAACACAAAAACTTGGATAAAAGCTTATATAAAATGGCATAAATACCTTAATCTCAATCTATGAATAACTTCAATTGACATAGAAATATTAAGAGCTATATTTTCCAAATCAAAATTCAGTGACAATAAAATCAATAATATATTGATGTAAAGAAATAATTATTTAGTTAGATTATTAGGCATCAATAAAATATATACTAGCTTGGTTGCCAAAGCCCTAAATAATACTCAAACCAAAGCATACTATATACCAAAAAATTTCTATATTCTCAAAAAATGAAACTTTACGGTGATTTGTTTTGAGATGCAAGAAGATTGAGATAATATATGTAGGCAACATATTTTTTTACAAGGGTTGTGTTTTTCCTAAAGTGTCAAATATATCACCAAGCCTAAAAAACAAAATCTAAAAAAGGAAATAAAAAATTTTAGTACAAGAAGTAAATATAATAAAATAGAAATAAATAAGGAGCCAGTATCAGACTTACAATCAGATAATGAATTCACAAACACAACTTCTAGTTCTACAAGATACTACAGTTTCCAAAATTAAAGATGAACCAAATAGCTCTATAACAGTAAAAATAATCAAGAAAGAAATTAAGCTAATAGATATTTAGTAACAAAAAGTAATAAGGAATTAATACAAAATCATTAAAGTAACAATTATAAATATATAGAGAAAGAGAAGAGAACAGATGTAAAAAGTATGTAAGATTTTCTAAAAAGTATTCTAGTCAATTTAAAAAGATTATATGATAAAATATATATATTAGAGGGATGAATAGTTTTCAAAAAATCAAGGCAAAATAATAGATAAGCAAATCATTCCTAAATATACACCAGTCCTTTATACTAATCAATAAAAGCAACAGTCCAGTTTCTCCTTATTAAAAAGTAATAACATAAGCAAAAAATGATCTATAAATAGAAATAATAAAATAAAAAATAATAGAAATCTAGATATAATAGTATTTTTATAAAAGAAGTAAAAATATTCTTAAATTATAAAGCTGAACAAAATCAGGAAAAAAAATATCAAGAGAAGAAGATGAAATAAATAAAAAAGTAATAAGAAATGTACACATAATATTAGAGATATTATAAATAAAACAAATCAACAAAGTTTTATCAAAGAGATTTTAGAACAAGAAATAGAAATACTGGAATTGTATAAAACAAAACTAATTTAGGCCAATGTACAATAAACTTTAAATAATCAAAAAACCTATAAAAATTTTTATAGTACCAATAAAGATATACCTTTTAAGACAAGTGTCAATCTTCTAATTAAAAATTATCTTGAAAAAAAAAGTCTTATCAATAGAAAAATAAGAAAAATATATTATTGTTGCAAACATACTTATAAAAAAATAAAAATTTATATTATGCAAATTTATATTCCACTAGATAAACAAAGATGTAAAATAGTACAAGAAAAGGTAACCAGCTTTATTAAAAGAAAACACAAATAAGGCTATTATACAATAGTAATGGGGAACTTTAATGTAACATACAATCCATCAGAAGATAGATAATTATCCTCAAAAGCAAAGTTCAGATCATAATGGTATT